CATCTCCTCCTCTCCTGGGCAGCAGCAACAGCACCAGGAGGCTGAGGAACACCCAGCAGAGATGTGAGAGGAGGAGGAGGAGACTGGCAGGAACCTGCCCTTGTTGACAGCACAGGGAACCCTCCACACTTCCTCCAGAGGCAGGGAAGGGACACCAGCCTGGCCTTTGTCACTGCAGGTGGGGCCTGTGAGCCCTGTGTGCAGGACCCCCATCCCCAGAGGCCTGGACCTGCCCAGCCTTGTGGCACATCTGTGCTTCCAGCTGCCTCCTGCTGCTTCCAACTGCTTCCAACTGCCTCCTGCTGCTTCCAACTGCTTCCTGCTGCTTCCAACTGCTTCCAACTGCTTCCTGCTGCTTCCAACTGCTTCCAACTGCTTCCTGCTGCTTCCAGCTGCCAGGGCTGTGCTGGGCAGGGCTGCTGACAACCAAGCAGGGGCAGTGCTGTCCCTCCCCACACTGTCCTCCCCCTCTCCAGCCCTTGTTCGCCTTCCCTTCAGCCAGAAGCACATCACCCACACATCAACAAGTCCAGAGCCACAAAATGCTGAAGGAAAACCACAACCAGAGGGCAAACTTTGAAGATGAACTCCATCAAGAGCAGCAACACTTCCCTCTGTGTCCCTGCTGTGCCCAGCTCAATCAGAATCATGCAGGTACTTGAAGTATTAATTAGATCAAGAAAGCAGCAGCACTCAGGCTTACGTTTGCAACAGGTCACAGCACCAGAGAGGTTTATTTAAAGTCAGGAGAAGGAGAGATTACAGCCTTGGGCTTTGATCAGGGCCTATTAGTGTGTGACACTAAGAACCACCTCGTGCAGTTAGCAGAGCCCAGCTCTGCCCCCCAAGCCCCAGGTTACAGCACATGCAGCAGATCAGTGCAAATGAATTCATTTACCCATGACCAAGGTGGGGAATATGACCTTTTCACGCCTAGTGGAGAGAAAGGGAAAGTTTATGTACACAAAAAAGACATTCCTGAACATAACCCTGGGGCAAAGCAAAGCTCTTAAACTGAACCTCAGCAAACCTTTGACCTCTGCTTAGGGAGACCCTGCTCTGCACAGGCACATTACAGGATTACTCACCTGAGTTAGCCACAGTTCCCCCTTTTCCAGGGAACCTTTTTACAGGGTGGACCAGGGACCCAAAGAAGAGCCAGAATTCCCAGCCTGGTGTACACAGAGCAGGGCTGTGGGTAACACATACACCCACTTGCTTCATGGCACTGCTGCAAGTGTGCAAGAATCTCCTCACATTCAAACTGCAGCTTGTTTTATTACAACAAAGCCCAACTGATCCAGATAAATAACTAAGAACAAACATCAACTCCAAGGGCTTTGGCATTCAAGAGTGCAGGAAGGGGAACAAGGAGTTAATGCCCTGAGGAACAAGCACCCCAGTGCCAGGACTCTGCAGGGCCCTTCATGGCCAGAGCTGTTTTGTTCCCAAACTGGACTGACTTTAATAACCAATTAAGAACAATTACAACAGCAAAAAGCCCAAATATCTATCCAAGAACATCTCCAGGTGCTGTTCTGCCATTCCCTGGCACCTGGACAGAAGCAGCACGTTCCTGAAGGAACAAGTCTGCAGGAAACTCATCTTACACTCGACACTGGGGAGTTGGAATAAAGTAGGGAAGTCCTGACTCTTCCAATTCTCCAGCAAAGCTCTGGAGCAAGCCCTGCTGTCGTCCCCTACAGCACTGCTGCCCTGTTCCAGCTCCTGCCCAGCTCCACTCTGAGGGCAAAGAGCAAAGAGCAGGGGCTTGACAAGAGCTGGAGACTCCTCCAACACTTTAACCAGCAAAATGGCAGAGGAAGGGAAGCAAACAGAGCTGTAAGGATGGGGCTGAGGTACCTCTGCCCCAACCCCAGCATCCAACAACTGTCTGCTCTTCAGGCAGAGGCTGCAGGTTGGGTCACATCTACAACCACATGAGGCTGGTTCAGGGTCCAGCAGCACTCAGGGGCAGGGAGGAGAGTGCAGGGGGTGGAGAGGGAGGAGGGAAGGGCAGAGGGAAGGGCAGGGCTCCCCTCAGCCCCTCGTGCCCACCCAGCATGGCCTGAGCTCAGCCACTGCCCTGCTGGGCCCCACGGGCTGACCCCACGTGGGGACAGCTCAGTGCAGCCCCCAGTGACACAGTGACACAGAGCAGGAGCTGCACACACTGCCAGCACCTCAGGGCACAGCTGGGGCACCCAGGGGAGCAGAAGCCAGTGGCAGGGACAGCCCTGGGCCACCCACCCTGCTGGGCCAGCACACGGGGGTGCAGAGGACAAGGACAAGCTACTGCTTTCCAAAATCTGAGCACTGAGTGCAGAATTCACCCCCAGAAAGGGTGAGCTCTGACCAGCACAACACTTGTGGGTGTTTCTCCATCTGTGCATAGAACCTCCTCCTAATTACTTTCTATCCTTCCTCTTTGGGTGTGGACGTTTTCCAGCTGAACTGTCAGCACTATTGCTGTTTATACAGGAAAGAGAATCCCAAATCTTCAAAGGTGAGGGAATAAATATGGCAAAACTCCGTGGAGCAGAGGTATCACCATCCTGCACACACACCAAGGGACAGCCCAGAAGGAACACAACACCCTGTCCCCCCTCCTGCAGGCCCAGCAGTGCAGGGAGCTGCAGTGCTGCTCACACTGATCTCATGTTCCAGGGAATCCAGTTCACTTTTTTTTTTATTATTTTTTTCTTCCAATTCAAGGAGTGTGGCTTGGCCAGTGAGGAACTGGCAGAAAAGGAGAGGAAGGGGATGAAGGACTGCTTTGAGTGCTACCAAAGGTCTGGGCTGCAGTAAGCAGGACTAACCCAGACATAACTGTGTGGCTTAACTGATTATCTTGAAGGGTCTCCAGCAACTTGCACATGAGCCCATCAGTCATTTCCACCCCTTTTCCTGCCCGACAACACCCACCTCTGCTCCAGCTCCTTCAGGGGCCAAGGTTTCTAAGCCTTTTTCAGCCACAACCTGCTCCTCCTGCAGGCACCAGCCCAGATAACAATGTGGGTAATTCAGAGTGACCCCCACCCCACAGGGCAATCATCTGACTGGTCCCACCACACTCAGTTCAGCCCTGCTGCCTCCTCAGAGCTGCCTCAATCCCTCCCCAGCAGGGCCTGCCAGCACTGCTGGGGGCTGCAGGGCCCCCTCAGCACACACACAGCCCTAAGGTCTGATTTGCACGTGACAGTGACTTTGTTAAATCTCCAAACTCTTCCCTTCCAAACAGCAGTGGCTCCAAAAGCCCTGAATGCCAGTTTGTAAGATGCAGCTCTGCCTGCTCCCACACGGCAGTGGAGTCAGCTGAGGAGGTGGCTGTAGGAAGCTCAGCTGTCTGGCTCTCTTCAGACTGGCAACAACTCATTTCATTCTCTAAAATAAATGTAGGATTGAGCATGTGCTGACTATTAGCATTAAACTGCACTGGGATGAGGTTTAACATGGAGCAGGAAGGGTGTTTTGCCCCCAGTACCACTGTGCTTTTCACCCTCATACACCCACAGGGCCTTGTGCTCCCAGGAACTGGGGAAAATCCTCCTGTGGAACCACTTCCCAGGATCCCAAAGGAAGCTCTGACCACAGGCAAGTCACATGAGGTAGTTTTTCCTATGCAAGCAGTTCCTGTCTCCCCCCAGCAGCCACAATTACACCATCAGTGACATTTATCTCTTCCCCTAATGCAGAGGGAAGTGAGCACCCAGGGCTCCACCCTGCAAGTGAACACTCCTGCCTGCCCTCAGCTGTGCCAAGGGAACCCCCACATCCCCAGAGCACACCAGGAGCTATGGCATCTCCAGCCCTGCTGCCCCGAGATGGCAACTCCAGCCCTGCTGCCCCGAGATGGCAACTCCATATCTCCTTCCCTGGGATCCTCTCAAAGGCCACACTCACCACTAGCAGGTTTTTTGCCTGGGGTTTGGTTTTACAGCCACCAAAGATGAGGCAGCAGCAGGACAGAACAGGCAGTGCCACCCCACCAGCTGAGACAACCACATTTGCTTTTGTCTTTGCTTTCCAGAAATCAGCACCTTCCCTGTGCCCTGGAGACTTTGGCCCCACGGATTATTTGTCCTATGGGATGGAAGCTGTGGTGGGCAAGGACAAGACAAGAAAAAGTCCTGCTGAAATGCAGTTCCCTGCAGGCCAGGGCTGTCCCTCACTCACCCTTTGTCGAAGAAGGAGGTGTGCCCTGGGTGTGGGTACTTGGTGCTGTTGCTGCTCATCACGGCGCTGTTGACGTTCCCTGAAATGTAGGATTTCCGTGACGCCTGGTCCTTTGCAAAGTTCCTGCAAGCAGCTAATTTGGATTCTAAGGCCTGTGAAAGGGGAGAAAAAAAATGATGTCAAAACAATAAAACCACTAGGAGGAAGTATTTTGCTGCTGGAGGTGAGGCTTTGCCACGACCTCGGGATGGCCATGATCAGGACTCCAGTGTGATCACCTTTGGCAAAAAAATGGGAACAAAGCTGTCATTTCCTCTGTCACCCAAACCACAAAGGAAACACACAGATGCTGATGCAGACTGCCAGGCATTACTCAGCTCCATGAGGGCTCAGATTTTAGAACATATGAACCTTGAAATAATTACCCAAGATAAGGGAGCCAACTCCAGCAGAAGTTACCAAAACCCTTCCCTCAGCAGCTGCAGTGAGGCTGCCAGGAGCTAATCTGAGCCTAAAGCAGAATTCTCAGGTTTCCAGAGGGACTGTGTATTTGGGAAGTTGATTTTTTCACCAGGACAACTTCTCCTGGCATTTCTTTCTCAATCTTGGCCTGCAAACCAAAGCCAGTTTGTAAAGCTCCACTGCCACACCTCAGAACAGAGGGGTCAGGACAAAGCAAAGGCAGCAGCTGAGCCATGGTCTTCCATCTCTGTACTTCCATGGTCTTCCATCTCTGTACTTCCATCTCTGATACTTCCAAGCAATCCTGGTGAAATCTTTTCCCCCTGTATAAAGTGACAGTCTCTGCTTCATCCACTGACTCCTGGCAAGAGGAGGAGCAACATCCCAATTCCCTCCTTCCCTCCAGAACATCACCTGCCCTTCCTGCCACTATCCCAGACTGAGGCTCATCCTGAATGTCCACCTGGTCTGGCAGAAGGACTCTTTACACCTCCCTGTGCATGGAGCAAATCCATGAACTGGAGACTAAAATTTGTCTCCAAAAACGTGGGGTTCAGACCTGTTCCACAAATATTCCACCTGATGTGCTGCCACAGGTAAGTGAGCACTGTACACTCTCCTAGGAATCCATGGAAGCTTCCTTAGGGAATATGGGCTATACAGGCAGCTACAGACAATCCCTGTCTCTGGGTGACACAGCACCTGTCACTGCCCACTGGGATCTGGGCCAAGTGATTCCCTGTCTCAGCTGCAAGCAGGAAAGCTGAGGGGAAAATTCCTGCAGAGACAGGGAGTCTGAGGCTCAGGATGAGGCCCAGCCAAACCCAAACCAGGTCCTGAGCATCCTATAATTGTTGGTAAGCAGTGCCTGGGCTGGAGCTGTGTGTCAGTGGCTGGGAAGGAAGCATGCTTATTTGGCATTTCCTGTCCTTGCAGAGTAATCATACGGGATTGTGGTTAAGCTCTCTAAATCCCCTGCAGACTCTTACTCACAATGATCCCCTTTTAAACATGTCACTCTGTAACCCAGAGCTGTCCTGCTGCCCTTTCAAACCCAGGACAGGCTCACTGGCTCCAAAAGGCAGCAGCAAACGCAGTTTTTCATTCCCAACTTTGTTAAAACAACTGTCTGCACTGCAGCTCCTGCCCAGCTCAGGGTGGTTACACACACTGGGCAGAGCCAGCACTGAGCCTGGCCCTGCTGCCACTCAAACACAGCCCCTGAGGCTCATCAGCCAGCTCCTCAGAGCT